TGAAAAAGAAAAAGGAAAAAACTCGTTTGCAATTGCAGTCGGGGAGGCAGCGCTAGTTACCCAAGTTGGTGGTGGCCGTGAAGTCGCGTAGCACGAAGCTGACGCTGCCGGTCACCGGCTCCTGGTTCAAGTTCGCCCTCTGCAGCGGGAGCACGCAGGCAAGCAGGTTAGAAGCAAAGAGCGATCTAGGAGGAGCAAGGGGTTCTTGACTTTCGGTGGATCAGGGTGGGTGTGCCTTGTGAGGGCAGGACGCCAGGGGGGTGGGGCTCTATTTATACCGCATCAGCCCGTGGCTACACCGCTGGCGCTACGCGCACCAAGCGAATCCCACCCACGACGGGGTAGGCCGCTGTCGCGCGCGCATAGGCGTGGGGCGATTGGGTGTCCGGGGGTTCTTATAAGAATTCTCTTATAACAAGAGGGCATGAGGCCAGTGGGTAGTGCGCACTGCGCATGCGGGCATGCGGCAATAAAACAATGACCAACGACTCACAGTCAAAGTATTCGCCCACACTGATTAGTGAAAGATACTCGGTCCCTGCATCTCGGTGCCGTCGCAGTCGCACCTGGGGTGTCCGCATCTCGGTCCCTTGTGTTCTTCTCTGGCCACGTCTAGTTTCAAAAAGTTTTCAAAAAAATACTATAGTAGCTATCACATCAAATCTTGCAGTACGTGTATAGAGTATTAAATGTAGACGAAAAAAACTAATTACACGGTTTGGTAGGAAATCGTGAAACGAACGTTTTTAGTCTAATTAGTCCATGATTGAATATTAATTGCCGAATAAAAACGAAAGTGCTACCGTAGCTAAATTTCCAAATTTCACCCAACTAAACAAGACCTCTGTCTACGCGTCAGGTGTGCTTTTCCATTAATTCGTCCTCATGTCCATGCTACCGGTGCTGCGCTCAAAAGTCAGCGAGAGACATCCACTTGCCTAACGAGATCAGGTCTTATTTGGGGCCTATTTGACACGGTTTATACCGGCTTCGGTTTTATCTATTTTGCGCAAATTGAGGCACTGTAGCGTGAAGCCGTTTTGTAAGCCGGGGTTAAAATAAACTAGAAGCCAGAAAAAAGCCAGTTTTTCTGGCTTCACTGGCTTTGGCTTCACCGGTGAAGCCGTTTTGGATGAGCCATGCCAAGGGGGCTTTAGGACCTGTTTGGCAGGGCTCCTCCTGAGGGGCTCCTCCAGAGGAGTCAGAGCCGTTTTGGAGGAGCTACAAATTGTGGCTCCTCCAAAATAGCTCCGGCTCCTCTGCTTTTTACTAAAAAACGGCTCCTTCACAAAAACGTTTGGCAGGGCTCCTCTGGAGGAGCCAGAGCCGGAGCCGGAGAGGAGCCCTGCCAAACAGGCCCTTAGTTTCTCCCTAAAAATTTACATCATATCCCATCGAATGTTCAGACATATACGTAGAGTATTAAATATAGACTAAAAAAAATTAATTGCACAGTCTTTTAATCCTAATTAGTCCATGATTTGACAACGTGGTGCTACAGTACACACGTGCGCTAATGATGGATTAATTAGGCTTAATAAATTCGTCTCGTGGTTTATTGACATATTCTGTAATTTATTTTTTTATTAGTATCCGAACACCCCATACGACACCTCCATATGATACCCGATGTGATATCCTAAAACTTTACACCATGATATAAACAAGACCTTAGTTAAAATATATAAATTTAGATAAAGTAATAACCTATATAAAATATGTCATGTTTACTAATATGGTTTTGAGATAATCTAGGGCTCTGCCTCGGGATCGTGGTGTGGAACAGCTGCTTTGTTCGTGCAGCCGACGCACACACACAGTGGACTGGGCTGTGTGGTGTTTAAGGATAAAAACGGTCGGAAATTGTCGAAAAATTCCTAAATTATTTTCTATTTTTACATTTGAAATACGAAAACAAAAGTGAAAACGGTAAAGTCGGACACGAAAACGAACGTGAACTTACGAAATATCGAGAATTCCGAAAACGAATCAATTCGAGCGGATTTATGTCGAACACGGTCGATATACGAAAACTCAATACGGAATACTGACCCGTAGAACCAAGTGCATGACTAAGTACATACATGATCAAGTTCAAGTGCATATAATAATTACCAAGTGCATGATCCTTGGTCTTAGGTATTTAACACAATAGCCGACACATAAATACAAGTCTAGAAGAAGCAATTAGTAGCTAGCAGGACAGTAGGAATTAAAATTAGATGTAGCAACTAGCATACCATTTTAGAATTTGAACTAAAATTAGATGTTATAGAAACATGAACTCGAACTAAGTCAGGATAATTTTATTAATTTTTTGGAATAGATGTAGTATTTTATTTTAAAGATTTATTCAGATTTTTCTTTTGATTAACAAAGATTTATTCGGCTGAGCCAAAAACTATCAAATGATTGAGTTCGTAGGTGGGGGTTAAACCTACGAGCTTGATGGGCTATAGCCCAAGTGGGCATTCAGTATAGATGAAATTTGGGTAAAATCTATAGAGAGAGAGGCAATCGCCACCAATAGAAAAGAACGAATGCGTGGTGAACAAACTGTAATTGGACTATATGACCTAAACCGAATTTTGAATTCGGAATATTTCAAATTAAAAGTAGAAAAGTAGAAAGCGGTCGAAAATGTCTAAACCGTTTTCTACTTTTACATTTGAAATACTGAAACATCCGAAATATGAAATATAAAACGGTAAAGTTAGACAAGAAAATATGGATTCGATCAGATTAAATATAGAAAGCGATGCGGTTCGGTTCGGAATATTTCCGTTCCGTTTTTTCGAGTTTGGAGCCCGGACCGACCAGCCAGCACCGGTGCTGGCCGCTGCGCCACCCGGTCTCTGCGGCTGCCCTGCGCACAAGAGAGGTGTGGTCTCAACTCAACGCGGACTTGGTACGCAGGTGCGTATGTACGCACGTCAACCGATGATGGGGATGAGGGGGCCATGCATCGAGATTCAGGAACTCGATATGTAACGTTTGCCAGGCTGGCGTCTTTTGAAGGACATGAATGATCCGACGTGGCAACGATGAGTGAGCGCTAAACAGAGAGAGTGTGCATGGTTCAAAATTTCGAAATGGGCGCTTCCTTCCAGAGCACGGAAACATGGCAGAGAGAGGGGATTTAATGGCATGAAGAGAGGGCAGAGTCTGAGAGTTCTTCGCGCCTGAGGTGGGTGAGGAGCAGGCTGCATCTATTCTTCAAGGGGGGAGAGGGGCATGGAGGTGCCCCGCGAGGGAGAAGGAGCAGATGGAGCTACAACGGAGGTGTCCGAGCAAGGAGGATCGGCGATCAGTCTGGATCTGGGAAGGCCGACCTACACGACCTCATACGGCAAATACAGAAGGTATGCAGAACGAAGTTCAGTTCATCATTCCTTCTATGTTTCGTAGAGACTTGTAAAGACTGTTCTTTTATTTAATAAAATCCAGTAAGAGTTGCACCCCTCCTGTTCCCTCAAAAAAAAAAGATCAGTTCATCAATAAGGAGAAAATTGCAATTATAGGACGTGAAACAATGTGCTTCGCCAGGGCACTGCTGGCCGCCGCCTAGGCATGGCTGGCCGCCGTGTACAGTTTAATATGTAATATAAATTATCAAAGATGATCCATACATAATTACAAGTAATAGATAAAATCATGAATTTAGCACAAACGAGCTCATCTCATAAAACCATGATTCTAGCATAAACAAGTTCATCTCAGAAGACTATAATTTAGTTCCAAACGAGATCCAAGTCATATGAAATAAAGTATGAGTTTACATCTCATCATAACTAAAATAATTCATCCAATGTATAGCTTTCTCTTTGGAGTCATCTTTTTTGGTGCTGTCGCGGTAGGCATCCTCACGGGACTAGTGGTGTTGGTTTGTGAAGATGTGTTATCTCCTAATAACATCGCAAGCTTGCTGCACATAAATACGATATGACAATTATATGTATGGAAAAAATTAATGTACAATTAAATGAAGATAATTTTTATATGAAAATTATAGATCTCGACGAGATCTACAACTTTGTAGTTTTGAGTTTTTTCATTTAAGTCTTTTAAGATGCTAAGAAAAAATTAATGGCATATTTAGACTTAAGGGTATTTTCGTCTTTTCACACCTGCAGTTTGACGGCGTTAGAGCATAAACTGACGGCAGTGGTATGGAGGGCACAAAAAAGTTGAAGCAATAGCGCTGAAGACCGCTGAACTTTTTTAAGAACACACAGAGCATTACGATCTTTTTTAATAGCACATGAGTAATTCCCACGACAAGCAAAGAGCGATCTAGGAGGAACACATAACTGGATACGAGTAGTGTTCTGAAGGGTAAGAGCTCTGGGTTTGGTTCGGATACAGCGATCGAACGAGGTAATGATTACTTTTATGATCATCTAGAGTAGTTAATCTCCTAGCTACTGATAGTCAAATTAACAAAAAGTACTCAAATTTTGCATCAGGATTGCATTTGATCAAAATGATCGAAATCATCTTACATGGCCAGAAGGGGAAAAATAAACATCAATACACTATACTATTAGTAGCACGACTTGACTACGTATTTATTAGCAGCGCAAGGGACGCTTGAGCTCGCATGGCATGATAAAGATTACTGTATCCAGCCAGCACACTTAGGGCCTGTTCGGCTGGTACATAAGCCGGCTGGTTTCGACTGATTCAATAATGTTCTATGAAGAAGAATAAGCTAAAATAGACTGACTTGGCTGAAAAGTAGTTAAATGTACAAGCTGTTATATTAGGACAGGCAACAGCGGCGGCGGTGGTGGTGATGAAGGCGGATTAATTTCCTATTGGCAACTCAGGGCCAGGGCAATGCTGTTGAATCAGGATTTAGGAATCAAATCAAATCTCTATATAGGAATCCTGCTTCTAAAAGCGGGCACCCGATAGTGCCACGTCACCGGCTAACCCATCAACCGTTCGATCTGGCAAACAAGCGAAATCGACCGTCGGATCAAGGTCTTCATGGGTCTCTACCTGTTACGCCGCAAAATCGGGCCATCGCGAATGCTCGCGAACCCGTGGACCGCAGACTCATCCCCTCCACCTACGACTGCTGCCTCGCGGCCGTGACTACGGGGCGCCCCGGCCATCCCGGCGTGGGTGGGGGCCCCAGAGGCACCGGCAATCCCGGCGTAGGCGGGGTGCGAGCGCAGCGGTCCCGCCTGCTCGGGTCGTGGCCATCCCGGCGCGAGCGAAGGCCCCAGCGACCCCGGCCCGGTCCCGCGCGGGCGTGGCAGCTCTGGCCACCCCGGAGCCATCCCGGCAGGCGTAGGTACCGGCCGCCGCGCGTGGCCAGCCGGCCAGGGGCCATCGCAGCCCGGCTGTGGGCGCGCCTCGTCTCCCCGCCGCTTCTCCACCGCCGCCAGCGACCACGTCTAGCTGCGGGCTGCAGGCCGAGGAAAACACGCAACGCAGCCGATCTCACCGCAAAGCTTCTGTGCGTGGCTGCCGCCACCGTAGCCCTGCTCCCGTGGGTCGTGTCGTGAAGCAAGCCTGCATTGGCGCACGGCCGTGGCTGGGTTTGCACAACGCCTATCGACGGCAGTTCGCGGATGACCGGGGATGGTGCCAGTGCCAGCAGCTGTCGTGCACGCTGCCTGCTTGACGAAATGCAATTTGTGGGATTGACGACGCTGCCATAGCAGGCATGCACCCCTATGGTCCTTCACCTGATAGATATGGAAAGCGACGAGGAGAAGGAGAGCATTGACGCCAACTAGGTCTTGTTGTACCTTGAGACCTTCCCCAGCCGGTGGTGGACAACGACGATCCCTCTGAACAAGCATCCCTATAACACAGGTACGCAAACAACTGAAGGAAAGAAATGCATCAGAGTTGCCAGCTCAAACACTTCCGTTACTTAAATTCCAACATGCATATAACAATAAACTTCCTTGATTTACATGATATGGATTTGAGAAGCGGAAAATCAAAATGCTGGAATAAATGATGAATTTTTAGGCCAATCATACACAGATAAGGAGCTCATCGATAAAATCTGTTTTTGATTGCATGATACTTTGCATGTCAGTTTGTAAATACCATTAACATCAATGTGTTATTATTCACTGAAAATTGTATCTTTTATTATGAATTGTGCGGCTGCTTGTCAATTAATTGTCAGACTGTCCAATGCATTAATCACGTTAATCTTATTATAATTTCAAAGTACATGTTGCTTTCAAGTTACTTTTCTTTACTGTGTATATGCTGAGCTACCGCTTGCTCCACACCTCAAGTATATTCTTGGATCTTAATTGTTTCAACTGCATTTTTTTGTAAAATCCTAATTTGGTCATTGCAGAGTGCTCCCTCCTAATTCTAATTCCATGACCCTCTCGGCCTCTCTGTTTCTTTATTGCACTTGCAGAATCTTACATGTATTTTATAAGATAGAACTACAAGTGCAGGGCGAGCTTAGAAGCCTAATCCTGACCCTTAACCCACCACCAGTTTTGCTGCAATCGAATTGACAACTGCATTGTCGGCCGCCATCCTTAAGTCTACTGCTGATTTCAGAGACTCCCGTGGGTGAGAGAGGAGTGTGGGAAACCATAAGGTAAACAATCCTCATTCAACTTCTACTCTTGATCTATTTAATTGGGTTTATAAATAAGCCAGATTTTCAGTTGTTTTAAACCATCAACATCCCCTTTGTTCTTAATTTACTTGGCTAGATCATCTAATTTGAGCCCTGAAAATCATTACTAGAAGTTGCAAATCATCCACCTCCCCTCTATTCTTAAACTACTCAGCTAGAGCATCTATTTAGCCATGAACAAAACTAAATATATAACAAGCACCAGCCACCAGTATGAAAAGTGAATAAAGGAAAAAAGAGGTGGGTGACACCATTGCTAACCTCTGTACTGCACAAGCAGCATTGTTCTATCATTTCCTCCGAAATTGCCAGAAAATTTAGCTTTCTATTCAGGTTACGTAGCTGTTATGCATAGAATATTACCGAAAAATGACAGCCACAGGATAACCGGATTAGAGCTAGCACATATAAGCTGGCCCCTTCACCGAAGAGCGCGGCAACGCCGCGCGTCTTTCTAGTCTCTGTATACTAATCTTGAGCCAAAAGCGGGCTAACGGATAGGGCTACGTCACCCGTTAGCCCGCTGGCCGTCCGATCAGGCGAGGACACAAGCTCAACCGTCCGATCCGGGCCTAGCGGGTAAGTCACCCGTTAAGCCACGAACCCAATCGGTCGCGAAACATCACGAACACGCCCGTCCCCTCATCTCGTCGCCTTCTGCCACCCCATCCGCCGGGCGCTGGCTTGCTCACGCGCCGCCAGCTCCTACCCTTCCACGAGCACTTACTCCCCTATGGCGCCTCCTCGACGGCGACACACGGCGGCCCCACGCGGCGGCGCGGCGCAACGGCGCGGGAGCCCCCCGCGCACCAGCCATGGCGACGGGACGGCACAACGCCGTGGGAGGCCCTCGACGAGCCAGCCAGGGCCCGGGCGACCCCCGGCGCGGCAGCCCAGGCACGGACTGGCCAGCGCGCGACGGCCTGGGTTCTCGTCGATCCCTGCTGGTGTGCAAAAGCAGCGTGGAGGTTCCTGTTACTGGTTCGATATTCTTGCTCCCCTTTTCTGCTTACTGTTACTGCAGCCTGTAGTGAAGCTGTGGTGTTTGATGAAATGTGCATGTGGGCAGTTTCATCCCATTTTATTTGTAAAACTGTGTTCATGACCAATAGAAATGCTCAGTTCTCAAGTTTGTGCAAATGTCCTCTCAACCCGGAGCTAAAGTGAAGATGATGTATATGTCAAAACCACTAATTTTTTATTTCCGATGAATGGTTTTTGCACCTTGCTGGGCAGATGATAGCATGTACCTTTAGACTATATATATACATGGATTGGATATTTAATGAGTACTACAGTAGGTTTTATCTAATTATGTAAGCTTGGTGCGTTGAAGTTTGATAAGCTATAAAGTTAGTTCAACGGCTGCCAGCTATTTATCATCATCTGAACCGTATTGGAAGTCCGAGTCACAATTTAAACTTCCACATATATGTTTTAGTGCTAATTCAAAGTCTCTATTGTGATACAATTATACAATTTCTTCCCTGCTATATCCTAACTGCTTATGTTTCTCTTAATGCAGGGATAATAATAATTTTACCATCACAGATGGGCCAAACGAGCAAAGGTTAAAAATCCTGTTGAGTCCTTTTCCCTCCTCAACATTGTGATGTATATTTTAATTCCACTGATCCTAAATTTCAAGTGGACACTATTTGCACTCTCCTGTGCAGATGAAAGCATGTGGCTTTGGACAATAAGCAATGGATTGGACAGCAAAGGAGCACCACTTTTAGTTTTCTTATCATGTATACGTTATCTGAAATCTGTAAGGTTTGGTGCATCCAATTTTGATCAATTCTAAGTTAGTTGAGCAGCTATGCATGTTTCATCAACTCTCTGAAGTATATGCAAAACTAATAACAGCCAAAAGTTTTGATCGGCTCTAAATTTAATTGGAGAGTCATTCACATTTCATTTTCTGTATAAAGATGCTGCACGTTATACTATTCCTCTTCTTGTAGGAAATACTGTAGGTCGACCAGCACGTGTTGCAAAGTATTGCAGGGTTACCGTTAAGCTTGGATGCTTCCCTCATCACTCCAGTGCCCTTCCACCAGCATACTCCCTACAGTAAGTCCCTAGGCTATCCGAAATCAGAGCTATTTCTCCCTTCTATCTCTTTCTTCTTCACCCACATCACCTTTCTTTACCTGAATGTCTCAATTCTGGATGTTCCTGAGCCTGAACATGAGATGCAAATAAAATAGCAAATGCACTCTTGCTCATTTATTCTCATTTTGTATGTCAAAAACACCAATAACCATCTCAGAATATCTCTGCACTTGCATTTAAATTATTTTATTCTCAATTTATTGGAATTGCTGTCATAGAGAAATTATTTGCACTTACCTGGGTTTGTTGCTATAGATTACCTGCATTTACTTTTAGTGTTGATGAATAAGTTACTAAATATTGTGTTCCAAAATTTATTTTGATAAATGACCTACAAATGCAACATGTGCACTCATTAACGATGATGAGTTCTTAATACTGCATTTCAATATCAGGATTCTGCTCTTATTGCGTTTGGAACACCCTATTTATTTGCCATCGGGATTTACTTAAGATACTCCACACTGTTCAGTCTCGTCTATATTTATTCTGATACTATTTATGGTGGCATTGATGGTGTTACCCTTTGACGCTGTCTTCATCTACCTTTGACAACTTCGATACCAGAATTTCATATGCCTTCATCTTTGGAGTACCTGTTTACTATTAGGTTTCAACTGTTGGTATAGCCATATAGGTGAATAAAGTCTAATGCAAACTCATTTTCCCTGTATTTCATCCTCTTAAACGATTCTTCTCAGCTCGAACTGCATTTCTCCACAAATCATGCCTTGATTTTCTGGGTCATCCACGCTTAGTGGCTGCCTCAAACATAGGAAGAGGAAGCCTACGCTCATAGCCTCATACACTCAGCTGCAAGTGAACCTGTTGCACTACTATAGAGACATTTACGATGACATAACTTAGTGCTGAGCTTTCCTGCCACTCTCATTGTATTAGTTTTGTAACTTTTTGTAAGTTTACATACTTTCCCGCAGGCTGCTAGAGACCAATGCAGGTTTACGTCCTAAAAAATATACTACTTTGATTTAACAGAAATTATTATCCTCTTCTCCATGACCCCCTTTTTTTCCTTATGCATATGATGCAATTCTATCATGGTACAAAATTTTTACCTTTTCCACAAGGTTTCTAGCCACATGAAGTATTCAATAGATGAATAGATATATTATTATTTTAGCGATATTGTGTGCCCAATATATCTACCACCTCAATAATAATTTACTATATATTTCATGGGTAATAGTTTGAATGCCTTTTGCCAAATAGTTCAGCACATGTTTCAGTTTCATGGATAACAATTTTATGTTTTTTCAACCAGTTGTAGTCGCCGTTCACCTCTTGGATTATTTTCTAATTATGTGCACCTTTTTTTTCAGCTGTCCAATTGATCTGTGCTCTTGAGCTGTCCAATTGGTCCACACTCTATGAACGGATATCTATTTTGTCTGCTCCAATTGATGCTGAGCAGCTCGGTCGGTACGCTTTCGCAGTGGGCAAGCGGCCGGGCGCGGGTTCGATCCTGGGATCGTCCGCCTTTCCTCACCGGCGTTTTCCCCAATAAATAAGTTTGCACGGATGTGGCATCACTGTCATACCTTTCAGCCGTGTACTTCTAGCCTTAGATATAAGTTGTAGGTCTAGCTTACGCACTAGGTGTGTGAGTGTGTTAGGGTGCGTGTGTGTGGTCTGAGTTGGTGCGTAAGTTCAGATTTACAGCTTGTAATCGAAGGTTGAGGCAATAAACAAAAAGTTTAGGTAAACCAGAGGTGAAAGAAGACATGCTAGATGGAGAGTACATTTACTTAGTTGTTGATTGATTTGGATATAGTGTCCGTTCTCACTTTCTGCATTACAATGGATCAGGAAGAAATAAAGCGAAGTTTCGAGCCTCACAGTTCTTGCTCTTAATCTTTTTTTTTTTTTTTTTGCTATGACTTCATATATACATGGATCTCGGTTCTACTCCATCTAGGTTCTCCATATAAATGAGATGAAAGGAGTATCATTTTTTCTCTGATTTAATCAACACTGGACTGCTCAAAGATGGCGCGGCAACGCCGCGCCCTGAGTTTTCTAGTCTCTATATAGGAATTCTGTTTCCAAAAGATGGGCAGCGGATCGGGCCACGTCGCCCGACAACCCATCAACCGTTCGATCGGGCGGGCTCGCCATGTGGACCGTCAGATTTTGGATCGGATCGGGTCTCCGCCTGTTCCATCGTGCTCCCGCATCGGGAATCTTCTCGGCGCGTCGGCCCGTAGGCTTCCGTGGCGTCGATGAGCAGAGCGGCAGCGTGGGTCAACGGCGCGGGCATGGTCCACCGGCGAGGCGGGCGAGCTCACCGGCGAGACGGCGCAGGCGAGCAAAACGCGACCTTGCCCGCGGGATACCAGATGCTCACAGCATCGTCAACGCGCTCGTCCCCTCCGCCTCTTTGCCTACCCTGCTGTGCCGCGCTCTAGCCTCCGGCCCTCCGCCCGCACCCAGGCCGCATAAAGGGCTCTGTCCCCAACCCCGGCAGCCCTTGCCCTTAGCGAGGAAGCGGAGCCGTGGACAGGCTGCGGCGGAGTCGCACGCGCCCGTGGCCTTCCGCTCCAGCGCCCGCGGGCCCAGGGCCACCTCGCCGCCGCGCTGGGGAGCGTGTCCGGCCCGACATGGCCGGGACCTGGGCCACCGCACCACCCGTCAGGGTCCAGGCCTTCCTCGCGGAGATGGAGAGCGCCATTAGGTCTGGGCCAATGCCACCAACCAGGAGATCGACCACGCGCTCGTAGGTGAAGCCCTGCCCTGGATCATTGTTTTCACCTTCATTCACACGCCCTGATGAGTCTTTGTGTGCACTAGGGCCTGGAGAAGTACGTCATGACCAAATTGTTCGACACAGCATGTCTGAGCTTCAAACATTTACAACGCAATTTCAGTTGTCATAAGTTGTAAGGATGGGAGTAATCAATGTATGCTACATCAATATATGTTTGATTGAAATGAAGCTCCATACTTTGATACATTTGCTAGCTTCAATATTGAAAGAAAAGGTGTCAACTATCAAGTACTCAGCTCTATTTTTTCTGTTATTATCAATTATGTTGTCATTATACTGCATATCCAAGAGTTGCTGGTTTTAATCGTGTAATATCCAATTTTTTAAATTATCCAAAATTCCCATGAAAGAAATCATTCCAGTGATACATCCAAAGCTCATTGTAACTATGACCATTATTTTTCTGCACATGACACTCTAGCTTGCAGTGAAAGAGTTGCAGACGATTAATACCTTCAAAGCACAACACGAGACGCTTCTATGCATCATGAGCTGTTGTCAAGTAATCAATAACTTGCTTCTCAGCATATCAATGTCAAATGATCGAACATTATCTGGGGCTGATGAATTCCTTCCTATTCTTATCTATATTACTATCAAGGCAAGGGCAATCCTCAGCTGCACTCAAATCTGAAGAATTATCTGACAAACCTCATTTCACCAAAGATGTTTATAATAGATTTCAACTCTCGCTCACTATCGATGGAGTAATCGAGTTTCAAAAACATATGGAATCGGCAAGACTAGCTACTCAAATATCTGTTGCTAGCCCAAGTAGTTCACACCATCATATGCTTCTCAACTCCTACTTTTTGTGGAATTACATGTACTTTATTAATTTGCAGAGATGCTTTCCATCAGTCTTAAAAAGGTTATCATCATGTAAAGTACCTAACAGGCTAGGAGCCCAAGCAGTGAGTTCATGTCCATTCAAAACAAATCAAAACAGAGAAAAATGAGTCATATCATTGAAAAAAACGTGTTTTACTTGAGCAATTTAAATGCAGCCATGTTTGGCTCTGCTGAAAGCTTTGAATTTAAACTCAAACAGCATATAATATTTGCTTTATATACTATTTCAGACATTCTCTTCCATTGCAACATCTTTGACTTTGAACTATAAGGCAGGCAAAAAAAAAATGCAAGTCTACTATACCTCCATCTTTGTTCTGCTATATCTTGTGCTGATTGCTAAAGCTCTCCACATAACTTTCTTAACTCATCGACTTCTCGTAATTTGGATTTTAGCTGTGCTACTATCTCTCTCCTTCTGTAAATGATTTGGCTAATATGTGTAGTTAAATTTTTTATTTTGTTTTAAAAGCTTCAGATCTTAATACAGTGCTAGAGTGTGAATCTTAGACAACACTGCCACTGCTGTAGTTTTGATTGCGGTGAATGTGTGGATTGTCATCTTGAAAACAATTTCTATCTTCCTTTGAAATTGTGACTCAAAGGTAATAATTCTATGCCTTGTGAAAGCATCTAGGCCTCTAGTTGGGTTTCGGTGATTAATGACAATACGTGATTACTATGACTAACGTGTGTTTTGTAGGGGCAATTAAGTTAGGTCATGGTAATGGAGATCGATTGGGCAATCATGGTGGTCATGCCCCTATGATGGAAATCGTTTCGGTTTTCAAAGGATGGATGACAAGGTTAAGGATGGACTAGTTCTAAGTGTCGTTTAGTGTTGAAAAGACACTTAGAGTAGTTTAGAACTTTGTTTTTTCTTTGGCCGTACTATTAAGGGGGGTATGGATGGGTAGCTTGACCTAGGTGAGTCTAGTGGGTTAGCTGTGGTGCACACTTGCTAAATCTAGCACTAGGTAGCTCCTAAATAGCCCTTAGATCAATTGGAGCAAACTTCATTCACATATGTTTGAGAGATGGAAGTGAATGGAGGGTCAAATGCTGATCGGACACTGGTTCCGGTGTGACCGGACGCTGGCTCAGAGTCCGGTCAGTTCATTTGATCAAGGTGAAATCGTTTGGTGCGACCGGACGCTGAGAGGTGAGCGATCGGACGCTGGGTGCCAGCGTCCAGTCGACTCTAGTAAGGTTCCAGAGAGGGAAAATCACGACCAGACGCGTCCGGTCAGTGCTGGGTCACAACTTAAACACTGGAGGTCGGGGTGAACTGACCGGAGCGTCCGGTCAACTTGACTGGAGCGTCCGGTCACCCCGCAGAGGCACATAACGGTTCGGTTTTCAACCGGATGTATAAATACTTCCTTCATTCTTGTAAGGGGGTACTTTTGCTCATTCTAACAGCTGAGAAACACCTTGAGAGTGCCAAGAAGAGCAAGGTCTTAGTGAGGTGATTGAGATTTAAGAATCCCAAAGAGAGCCCTCATTAATGAAAGCAAGAGTAGCAAAGTGTGCATCCACCCTTCTCATTAGGTTTGTCGTGGTCAAGTGAGAGTTCGTGCTTGTTACTCTTGGTGATCTCCATCACCTAGACGACTTGGTGGTGATTGGGAGCTTGGTGATCATCCGGTGGAGCTTGTGGATGACCCAACTCAAGTTGTGAGCGGTTGTGGGTGATTCACCGCGACGGAGTGTCGAAGAATCAACCCGTAGAGAGCACTTGATCCTTACGCGGATCAAGGGGGAGCTACACCCTTGCGCGGGTGCTCCAACGAGGACTAGTGGGGAGTGGCGACTCTTCGATACCTCGGCAAAACATCGCCGCATTCCTCCTTCTCTCTTTACTTTGAGCATTTACTTTGAGCAATTCAATTC